TTCCTGCCTGATGACCATTTTATTTTAATGATGCTGCACTGCTACTGGTCATCTCCATTTTTCAATAATCTAGAGGGACTGCACATGACAGCCTGTCCCGGGAAACCCAACCAAAATGCCAACTAGTGAGACCACAAAAGAGTGCTACCAAACAAATGCAACAGTTTTTCTTTCTTCAGGTTTCTTCAGCCTTTAGCTTTGCTTGCTGCAGGAGCAGCATTTCCAGTTCAGTATCAGTGACAGTCTTTTCAACAGAAATCTTCATTTCCATTACTATTACTGATATTGTTAGGGAAGACAATTACACTAATTGGTTTGTTTTTGATAACATATCTTCTCTCACTTAACCTAGCTTTCGTTGTCCCACCTTAATTTTAAGTGTCTGTAAGAAATGGTGAGACGGCATCTTCCCGCCTACAAATACACCAGGGATTGACACTTCAGCTGATCATAGGACATAGCAGCTGATAATTGTTTCAGATTCAAGGAACTCTCAGCATTTACTGTCATCTACCAAGCCCACTCTTTACCCATACTTGATTAAAAACTTAAAAATTTAATCAAGTTGTCAAGCACTCATGACAACTACTTTAGCCACAACAAAAGAATGAGAAAAGTTTGAGGTGAGAAGCACATGCAAAAATTGGAACCAAGGCTATCAATATTAAATCTAGGAATTAAATTGCAAACAATTAAATTATGCTAACCTGTATGTGACTCCTTCCTGAGCTTAACAGACTTTCTGTAATAAGGGAGCTTGTAGAAAATCTCAGTTTTGGTGCAATTCCCTAGAAGAGAGACAATAATTGAACATCAAGTTCCAACTCAAGATAAAGGGTATCAAAGAAGCAAATGTCACCTAATGTAACAAACCATTCCTAATTTTAAGCCATTTCCTTTGTTAATTTCAGCCTTTAATAAAGATAATTAGAAAAGACAGAACAGCAATGGTAAATGTCAAGATGCTAACATTTGCATTTCTGACAATTCAATTACAGATGATTATATTGCTTTCGTACAACAATTAAAGTCTGACTTTTATTTCAATACATCTCTGTCAAAAGCACTTTTCAAATTTTTTCATGCCATGTTATATAGCATCAACAAAAACCGTAGTCATGCTGTAGAAGTTTTATTAATGCTAATTTTGCAAACTTACTTATAAATAATGTCAATTGTGTAAACTTTTTGTAAAAACATTTTGAAAATTAGTCACACTGTAAGTAACCATTTGTTTGTAATGCAAAGGAAACAAAAAAAAAAATCCCACTTTCTTCCGTAACTGTTAGAACAAAGTCTGATTTCTGTGGATTGTCTCCATGCTCTGTAACCATTCCGCTTACTCTCAACCCCCTCTTACACATTCACCTGGCAAGGGGTAGGCCTGCTCTGACTGATTTAGAGCCAGTGGGGTACACCTGGGCCTAGTGGTCAATCAACACATATGTGCTAACTGGCCAGCAAATCTCTGCATCTTTATATGGATAATAGTTTATGCTGAGCCTGTCTTATTTTTATGATGTCTCTAGAAACCCGCTATCTTTGAGACCTCTGTTTCTGGTCAAATTTGGCTAGAACTGGCCAACATATACAAAATCTACTGGGGGGAAATGGACCAAGATATGACACACAGGCATTGCTTCCCAGAACAGCAACATAAGAAAAAATGCACGTAAAACTAAAGATCATGTTTGCTGTGAATGAATGGGGATTATCTATATGTGCATCTTATACAGCCAAGTAGGAATCAAACGTCCCTAGAGAACTTGCTAACCTCTTCCTTCTACAGAGACAGTTTGTTCATGTCCCTGGGTATTCGTGTGCATGGGCATTTGTGCATCTGAGTGTACAAAATCACCGAGAACAGAAAAGGAGCTTTTTCCTTTTGTGACCCTACCCCTCAGTCTAAAGAATTAGGAGGAACTTCATGTAGGAAGACTGTTGCTGAACCAAACAATTCTCTATCACCTGCTTAAACACACACTGCTTTCCCAAGAGGGAATAAGATCCAGCCCCAGCTTAGAGTATGGAAATGAAATGAAATGACAAAAGTGCCAAGAAAGTTCAGTCATGGGAATTAACAGAGTCTAGGATTCAATCCAGTCAAGCTATGGCATATAAAAGAGATCTTAAAGCTGACCATCTTTAATCAATTCATTTTTATTACTAATGAATTATCAAGTGCCATCAACAGTTTAAAAAGTAACATATCAGAATTAGTAAGACTATAAAAAGCAACAGCAGAGCACCTACTCCTCTTATAGAGGCTGAGAACGATTTCAGAAGTGTTAGAAGTTTGTAGCTAAAAATCGCCTAAAATCACAGTTCCTTCAGACAAATGGTTTTTGGAAAGGAAATACAGGATGGCACTTACATTCGTAGGAAAGGATTTGTCAGAAGTAACTTACAGCCCAATATCAGAGGTGCTATTCTTTTTTTCAGCATTTTCCAAACCAGGGAATGCTGAAAGCTATTCAATATAGCATTATGTAAAGACTGAAATTTTGCATAACCCCAAACGCATTTGTAAATGAACCTCTAGCCAGAAAGCGTTTGGAATCTACTCCTCTGCCACTGACACAGTGGTGCCTGCAGCCCTGGGCAGACTTATTTGTCCTTTTGTACCAGGCATTAAAAAAAAAAAAAATGTGAAATGGACATAATATTAATCTGATCATAGGAAAACTCTAAAGGCAGTTGACGTTTAGAAGAACCCAAGCTGGAAGGCAAGTCTAACATATGTTTTTAACTGTAAGGAGCTTGAGGAGGAGAAGCCTGTAGTAGTATAAAAAATATGTATGTGTACAATCGAAGGTCTTGTATTGGTATGCTAATGAAAGACACTGGAACTAAAGAAAAAACTGTTTTAAGTAACACAGCAAATATTGCATGAGGGTGGGGAATGGAGATAAGAGTATCTGTAAGAAGTCACTACTAGTCGAGGTTTAAACATATTCTGAAAGGCAAGGGTTGCGGAAAAATACAGAGAAGCCGGCAAAAGCCTCAGCCGGGCCACACTGGACCAAGAGAGATAACTCGAGGCATGTCTTGTATGCATATTGTGTTTGTAAGCCTCATAAGACATTTAGCCAGAGACATTATCAGCCAAGTGCCAGATTTCTGGAGGAGTTCTGATCCTCTCGACTTGGGATTCCTTCCAACTGGCAGATTAACACTGCTAATCAGACACTGCTTGTCGCTGCCTATCTGAACTCTACAACCGTAACCTTGCTGCTGCTACTTTTTTTTTTTTTTTAAATAAAAGACAATTTTATTGGGAAGCAAAATGTCACTGTAGCACAGCTGTCAGTCAAAAATACTCAACATCTCCGCTAGCTATAAATAACTTTTTTTGTGGGAAGAATATAGCTAGACTACCATAGCAAACACATGAGTGATTCTGGTTCTCAAGACCTTGTTTAACACTTTCCCTTTTGTTTAGCATTTACATACAGTGCTAGCCGCTGACAAAGCTTGCAAGAGATATTTGCCGATGAAGCTCAGGGAACTCTACAAGATGGAAGCATTCGAGACTGTATTTACTCTGGAGGTAGAACGAAAATCCTCTCATGGCTATCCCATTTGGCAACCAAGGAGAAGAGCCACAGGTTCTTCTCAGAGCATTCTTCCAATCCCATGAAATGCAGCTTCTATATTATTCCTGAAAAATAGGGTTAGTATGCCAAAATCCTTTACAAACTGTTCAGCGTTTCTGAGGTGGAACAAAGTAACAGATGCTTCTGCAGTCTCTGTTCCAGGGCAGAAATGAACTTCAATTACAGCTTTCCTGAGGATATAGAAGCACATTTCTATCTTCCCTCAGTCGATATTTTAAAGCTACTACGGTGTGATCATCCAGGTACACATCCAAATGACTCTGCTTCCCATCTTCTCACCGTCCACAAATTATGTATTTTGTAATAATGAAAAGACACCATATATTTTGGTATTAAAGAACTTCAACAAAAAAGCTTTTATAGTGGCTTTGCTTCTACAAAGATTCCTTCTTCTGAATTTACAGAAAATTTGAAACCATTTCACTAATACCTCCTCATTTGTTACTACTTAGTTATCTGTTTTCTTTCTCAACACTGGAAAGGTACCTATACCATAAGTAATATGAGAGTAATACAAGAACGGGTATCATACTTGTACAATTAACTTTTCTAAACACAGGGGCCATTCAAAAATAAAGCAACTGTAAGAAGCATTTGCGTAATCAATACAGTAAGTTTTGGCTTAGTGATTCTTGTCTAGTACCAGATTGACACAACTGACAGCCTGCTTATAGCAAAAGGACATTTCAAAACAAATGAAAATTTAACAGACAGCTCCAGCTCACCTCAACTAAAGACTTATGTAAACAAAGTTCCTTCAAATTCACCCTCTGACTGTTACATCACCTCTGCAGTTCAGGTTATCACTTTGACAGAGCAAATCTGCAATATCAAGAACTTAAGGTATTTCTCTCCCCTTATTAATTCAGAGCACCAGTTTGTGGGGCTGTACCAAGAACTGCATTGTGGAACAGCTTGAATTTACAATCATTCTTTTTGCATAGGTTTACCTGACAAACATTTTTGAACACTTATGTTCTCTGAACTAACGCAAAGTGTGGCTACACCCAGATAAAATGATAGAATGATGGGAAGGAATGAACAGTAGGATACAGGGATGCAGTACTGTCACTGAGGACTGGGTACCTAGCAATGTCAACTTAAACCCATATAAATCAGGGTCGTTTTGGTCCCACCCCCCCTCCCTCTTTCCTTGAGCCAGCAACAACATTCATAGAATAAACCATATCAAAATGCTGCTCTGGCTGAAAAATAATGACTTTTTTTTTTTTGGTAGGGACAGTTTTAGGTGCTGCAGGACCACTTGCCTCATGAAATCACAGCTTTAATGAATTCAACAGTAACACAGTATTACCCACCAAATTAGCACTTTTAATTGCAAGTGACAGGGCAATTTCTAGGTTGCCGTTACAGGGGAAATAGTATACCAGTTGACAGATACCAGTGACCTTTAATCAACCCCACCAGCACCGCATTTTTTTTTTTTTTAAAATCCAGTCATAACAGACAGGGCAACTGAGTCCCTATCTTCCCAACCCAAACATTCTGCCATTCTTCTTGTACAATTCAGTAAGACAAACAAACCTCAGAACACATCTTCCATATTAGTTGTCATTTATCATAGCTTTTGTGAAACTGCAGAAAAGGCAGTTACTGTATGGGTGTCAACGGGCTGAATAGACTTTGAGAAACAAACTTTGGAACTGAAAATCAGCCACACAGCACTAAGCCAAATTTCATTCACTTACTATTTTGGTGGCTATTTTGGACCTCAAGGAGACCCACAGGTCAGACAGAATAATGCTGTATAAAGCTGTACTGACTGTCACTGTCCTAAAAAGTATGAAAAATAGCCTGAAACAAAATGCTACAAAGAGAGACTGGGGAGGAGGGTTACATGGTTTACCTGTCGAAAACCATCAAGCTGATAGCAAATTTCCCTCTCCTCCCACTACATCCCTTCAACTACCAACTGCACCATGGCTTGAATTCAAACAGGGACATGCCATGGTCCTGCATTCCAAACCAAGTAAAAACTAACTTTTTCCCCACTAAACACTTTCTAAAAGCATTTTGAAAAAAAGATGACATCTTCACCCAAGTTCAGCCCTGGATTAGTACATTCAACACCCGAAATGGCAAAATCTGTCAGAAGTAATCACTTCTCATTTGAAGTAGTTCAAGGGATTTCTCCAGTGAAACACACTGTAACATAAATACAATCCACAGATATTCACTCACTGTAAAAGAAGAGGACCTCTTCATTAAAATCTCACGATCTAAACCATGGTGCCCATGAGTGAGCTTAGGGTCAGGGAACAGGAAATCTCTTGTATTTTCTTCGTAAGTAGCTAGAATTTCTCCCACTAAAAAGGAAATATATACTTTAATTGGAAAATAGACAAAGCCATAGAGTACAGACACCACACACAAGATCATATTGAAACTAAGATAAATTTTGTTCTTTATAAATTTACAGCATGGCTCTACAACTCCGTATCATACTGTGCAACAACCTTATCAAATTAAATGGGACTTTGCTGAGCAGCAGCAGTGTGCAAAATTCAATGTGTAAGTACGTTCTACTCTTTATTGCAAAAAGTTTAAAGAATACCGCATTAACTGTTCTATAAGAGACCTATGAGAAGTTTTCTCAAGCCAATTCTTCAGCAGTTTTCCTCCTCCTCCCCCGACCCCCATGCACAGAAGAAACGAGTCGGTTTTTTTAATGGCAGCCAATCCTTTATGAAAAACTGTATTATTCCGTATTACAGAACATTCATGCTTCTTAAATTGAAAATTGGCACAGTTATCAGAAAGAAATGCAAGATTCTCCCAACATCCTGGTTTGCTACTTTTTTATATTCTTTAGGGGAAAGTACAACTAAAAATAAATTTTATAATATATTATTTGGGTTATCACCGTCATTTTGGCAGCTTATGCTGAGCTGCATCATATCTGTCTATCTCCAAGCCCCCAAAATTAAATTCCTTACTCAAGATCTTTTACCCTCCCACAACAAAAATCCACATTCAGTTCATTTCTTTGAGCAAAAAGTCTGGTAATTCACCTGAGAGAAGCAATCGTTTCCTTGAAACTACTAGGGACACATAACAGAGTGCTTTTAACACCAGAGTTTCCAAATGAGTCCTCTTTCTAACGTGACTTTATTTCCAATAAAATGCAGATTTACATTATTCATGGGAACACTTGAATTTCATTAAAATAGATTTTTATAATCACACAAACCAGTAACAGAAGTACGACAAATCACTATTTATTATCTTCATATATCCCAAGAGACTTGTAATACTTATAGCGAGGATAAGAGTTTTCCCAGTGGTCACCATTAAAATAGAAGGGAAAAAAAAGTGTCATTCTGAGAACAAGATTATGCACTCTGAAATTTCACAGACAGCCACTTTGCAAGTGAATTGTGTTGCAGTTAATAAGTGTGCACTGGACGATTTCAGTTTATTTTCCATTTCTAAAGTATTATCATTTTCCTAAGCCCAAGTATGGTACATTTCAATATTCAGTTATTATTCTCTTTCAAGAATGAGATCCTCTTGATCTATTAACATTTTATGTTCAGAGGACCATTTGTCGAAGAGCTTTCCATGTTGTTTGTGTGTTGGAAAAAGTCTATATGGGCAATATAGTGCTATAATGGGCAATGTTCTCATGGAAATTCACCTACTAAACTGCATAATTTATGAAGAGATTGGTACAATACCTGGAGGAACAAGTTGTATTAGCTCAAGTACTGCTGTGTCAACTAGAAAGAAAAAAAGTTTTTTCATGAGTTAAAGAGAATTACATGATAAGAAATTATGACAGTAAAAAAATCAAGAAAAACTACTCACCAATTTAACCCTCGTAGCAATGTACATTATAGCTACATTATTTCCACTATATCAACAGTAAGAGTAAATTAAGAATAGCTTGTGGAATTCCTACATACTAGCCCAATGGCATAAGCAGCGTACAAATACTGACTCTAAACTTGACTTAACACTTGACAAATTTGGCATCAGATAGAACTTATCCTTTGAAAACAGCTTTTAAAGAAGATGATGCAAGCTTTGCTGCTTTTTCTGACAACTCCTGGAATGAGGGAGGTATATTCCTGGAGTTTGGGCTCAGGGTCAACACTGTCTCAGTACAAATCACTGTGCTCCACATGTGGCAGCACTGTTTGCAATAAGCACATTCCATTTTCTTAAAAAAAATGAAAAAGTATAATTTGATAGGAATCAAAGCTTTATGCTCAAATTACTTAAAAATTAATTAAACAAACAGTCAGATGGAGGAATCCATTAACTGTTTGGATAATCAAAAGTTGAACTTTTGTTAATTAAAACATGTTTTGCCTTTCTTCTATTCCAAAGCAAACAACACAAATTTATAGAGGCATTCTCTTAACTAACAATATTTTGGGAAACTTACTAGTAGCCAAAAGACAGTAAGAAACTTCTGCGTGCACTTACAACAAAATTTCTATCTTGAACAGCCACTAATGCTAAGGTACTACTTATTTTGTTTACATGGGATGTTATATTGATTATTCTCTAGTTTTTCAGAGAATGGATTTCTGATAGAAAAATAATCATATACATTAACCCTCCAAAACACATGTAGAGCCCATACATGGCTGATATTAACCACTAAATGCATACAACATAGTATACATAAAAAGTAGAACCTACGCTCAAGTAACTCCACAAGGTCTCCAGGATCAACTATATCAGCAAATGCCTGGGGGAAAAAATGGAAGAAATGGAAATATAATAATAAATGAATATACCGGAACAAAAAAATACATATACAAATATGTATTGTACATATATACAAATAAATGAAATCACCAGATGGACAGAAACTGGAAAAACAAAAACACACACACACACACACACACAATGCTATTCCTTGCTTCAGATGGTTGCAAACAGTTCTATCCCCATTAGGAAAAAGAAAAGAGGAAAATAAACTGAAATTATCATTTGGTACATAATCAAATTCATTGTAAGCTAGCAGTCCTTGTCATATGCTTCCTAGCAATTTCAGGGTTCCCTCTCCATATTTAAATTAGGAGGTACTGAGAAGAATTGAACACATGGAGATATAAGTATTGTTCAAGCAAATTTCAAGAGAGAAAGACAAACTGCTGATTGTATTAGAATTCTGAGAGATGCAGAATGTGTTTTTTAATATATTAGGGAACTGATTATTCAGGTACAGAGTACTGGTCAGCGAGGTGGGTTTTGTTTTTTTGTTTTTTAAACCTGAATCCCATGTGATTAGAAGGCAAGGGACAAGGAAGGAATTGCTGTAAAGACTCACATTGGATATTAAGCAGGAAAGACACTTCTCTAATTCTGCACAAAGCATCTCAGCTGGGCGTTACAGATCACTTGGTCATTCAAGGTACCAAATATTTGAAATTACCAAAGCACTGGTACCCCACAAATATCTAGAACAGTTCAAAAGCTATTTGTAAGAGGACAGATATTCTCAGTTTTCTTGTTCAGCTCTATTGTAAGCAGTTAGTCTGTGCTGTCTTTGACTTCCCCTAAATTATACTGAAAACAGTATTCAGCCCATTTTACTTCAAGTGATCGGTGGGATGTTTTGGGGCCTTTCAAGAACTAGAGTTTTCTTTTTTATTCCTTAGTAGTTGGTGGAATTATCACTGCTTGTACCTTATCCCCATCAAAAGAATACCACTGATGTTTAGTCAGTCTGGTTTTCAAAGTGCTGGGGGATGTTTAAAGGAAAAGAACTAGAAAGGGCAAAGTATTATTATTCATAGGTAGTCAAGAAATCAGATCATATCTGTAAGATACTGTGTTTCATTATCCCTGTGGTACTAATAATGAAGCTAGTAGGGACTCAGAATATGCGATAAACAACTATAAATTATAAGGCCAGAATACGACCCAGGGAATTCTGGTGACAAACACTGAAAAAAGTATCTCTAAGGGAGAAAGATGTCACCAGAAAGGCTTTAGCTGCTATTCTATCTTTCTATTGAATGGAGTTGAATCTCCTGTATCTCATATTCTTTGTTTTTCACCTTGTCATAATTTTTAGAACAACATTATTTAGTTCCTTCCAAGCTAGGAAAACAGATACTGAAAAAGCACCATTCATAAAAGAACGGACAAAGACCAAAAAAATCTCATCATATATTACAGTCTTTGGTATTTATATTGCTTAGGTCACTGCGTGGGTAACACAGGCACACACCTCCTTTGTGCTGAAGAGAAGCAGGAGGAGTTATAATACTATGCCATACTCAATGTGATCACTTGTGCTCGGGAATTCTGCAGTAATTTTCTGTGGAGTTTGGGATGAGTTTTGTTTGCCTCATATCAGCACTTGACATTATCTTACCTTTTCAAATACTAGTTTTTCTTCAAAAAGCAGTGGAAATGCTGCAGGGACGCATCGAGTTTTTTTGTACTGCCCAAGTACAGACACGCTGAGATAGAGGTCCTCTTTGTCTTTCAACAGTACGCCAGGGCAAGTTATCTGGAGGAGTAACACATTCATGAAGCAAACTGAACTTTAGTTATAGAAAAATGGCTTTTCTCAGGGTAAGAATGAAATGGTCAAGACAGAAACGGTGGATTGTGCAGAATTAGATGATTAGAGAGTAGGGTCAAAATATGTATTTTTTAAAGCAATTCTATTTCTTCAGCCTGACCAGGAAAAATAATCAACATTCCAGAATAATCAGGGCCAAACTCTTTTTACTGCAAGTAAATTTGTTCCACTGTAGTCAACCAGAACTGAAACTGGTATCCCACTCTCAGGCTAGGACAGTTAAAGGTAGGCACCAACTATCAGAGTTAATCATCAAGGGTCACAACAAACAGATTCTATACAGTTTAATAGATATGTCGACACAAAAACCTGTTCAAATCTTAGCCTACTCAAAGAGAGTAATAAGCTGGTAAATGCACAGGCTTGAATATGACACTCTATCCAGGCACCAAGAAAGGGCATGTTGATCTGGAAATACTATGATTATACTAACTTTCCTTCTTAATATGTAAACAGGAGAGAAAAAGCAGGTGTTGCCCCTTTACTATCAGATATATGTCACACAAGTTTTTCTCTAAGAACTCTGGCTACCTCAGAGGGTACTCAAGGCAGGGAGGGCTCCTCATTACGCTGCCAGATATTGCTGCTGCCCTCTCAACTTTCCCTCTCTGGTCAATTCTTGTTCTTTGAGTAATAAGAAGCAGGTATGTTTTTAAAGTCCTGATGAACATCACACATTCTCACTTGTGCTTCTACTGCAAGGATGTACACAAATCATTCCAAAACTATCTGTTATTTTCCCCAAGTCACATGGTTTTGTTCTATTAACCAGCCAGGGAATTGTCACCTTTTCACTTAAGTTCTATTCTGCTGCTCACTTTTTATTGCAGTATAATAAATATGAGGTTGGCTCTTCTAACACAAGGTTGCAGGAGAAACAGTGTTCAGACTTTCAATTGCTGGGCAGAAAGACAAAGGAGCAGAGTGACAGGAATTAAAATAAGTGCTTTGGTTACAGTCTCCTACTCCCAAATGAACATTTTACTTGAGAAATCTTTACTGCATCCAAAACAAGGCTATATAAACAGCAGAAAAACAGCCTTAAGTGAAAGGAATTACAGAAACCAATGTTTGATAAATGTAGTATAGCTACAGTACAAGCTTAAAAATAACGTTCCTAAAAATATATATATATCTGAAGGAGAAGGGAGGGAGACAGAGGGAAAAGAAAGAAAAGAGAAAGAAAAGAGAAAAGAAAAAAAAACAGAAAAAAAAAAAGAATAGAATTTCCTTTCTATGTAAATGCAAGCTTCAAATCTGGAAGAGAAGTGCCAGAATAGTAGATATCCAAATTGAAAAAGACTGCCAGGCCATTAAACAGCTTATATGACACTCACACAGCTGCAACTGTGAATAAAAGTGAGCGAGAGAGACAGATTTCATCCATTCAAGCCAAGACCCCTTAAACTACACGCAAGTGCTATTAGGTTAGTTCTGACTTTTCTCCTTGACGCTTCTGTAGAACTTACAATCCTTGTTAGCTTGGGCTTTGTGCCTTTCACCTTGGAGGAGGCAACCAATATTCGCCCACTTACTGAGATGAAAAGTGAGAGGTTAGAAGACATCAGAGAAGGCAACCATGCAAACAACGGTTAAGTGTCATTCATTCTGGCTATCCTGTAAAAGAAAAGAAGTTCTAACAAATCAGCATGCAGAGCAAGATAGCAAACGAGGAAGCATGTACTTCTATAACCCTGGAGGAGAACTGAGCACTTCATTGCCCAGGCTGTAACTCTAAATCTAAATGTTCATGTAACTTTAAGCCAGCTCCAAAAAATTAATGATAAATGTGTGTATTTGCAGTTGTTTTTTTTTTTTAAATTTGTGATGCATGGAGCTGCATAACACTTAGGAAACGAATTGAAGCTCTTATCTGACCCCAAACTGTTCAGGCAGGATGAGGGACCACTTTAAAAACTGTAATCTATGGATCAGCTCAGGAAGAGGATTATCAATGCTGCAATTAGTTGATCTCAAAACCAAGCAGGAGGACTATTCTTGAAGATAAACAACTAGGCCAGTGTTAGCCTGGGCTGCTCCGCTGAGATTCTCAGAGGGATGGAAACACATACCAGCCCCATTGTGGGGCATCAAAAATGGCCAAAAAGGAATCATCATATTCCTCTCATGGAAAGGAGAATCCTACTGACCTCCAGTTCTACATGGCATTTGATTTTCATATTCAGTCCTAAAAACTGTAGCATGCATATGTAACCAATGAAAAAAGCAGGCCTTGAAAAATCCCTTCAATGACCGATTACCACCAAAACAGGAAGAGTTCTGTACCAAGGGCAATGGATGGCATTAACCTTTGCAGAGTGCAAGCTTCCAGAAAGAGAAGCACTTTGGACTTAAAGTTGCAAAAGTGATCTTCTCAGTGTAAAGAGATGCCATTTTAGCCTCCTTATCTGGCAGCAATCCACAACACCATTAATTCACCTTAGTGCTTAAAGCTTTACCTACCTTCACTGTCACAGTTGTGAATTCTCCAAGCAGCAAATACATGAAGAATAATGTGATTTCATTCTGTTGCAACATGAGCAATCTAATAGCAGCAGCAGAGGTAGGAACCAAATTTAGTCTCAAAAACAAATAACAATGAAATCTCAGTCTGAGCAATCACAAATTATTCAAATTAAATTAATGGCAGGATAAACCAAATAAAGTCTGTAACTAAGGTTTTCAATTTTGAAAGAGTAGCCTTTCAGAAATCAAGAAAACTCCTAGGGAAATAAAACAAAGAGCTCATGGAGTCAGATGACCTTGGAATTTCAATAAGTCAAAGAAGCAAAAACAATCTGGAACATGTATCCTAAGCATGGGAAAAATTAAGAGGATAGAACTTCCAACACAAGTGGATGGATTTCAGACAAGGTTTAGAAATAAGCAGAGCATTGGAAAAGAAACGGAATCAGTTATGAGAAATCCACGACTTTAGTCACTAGGGCTTTAGTCACAAATAAAGAGAACAGGAGAATACAAGTGGGAGTACTGTAAATCAACAAAGATGTCAAAACTAACAAGTCTATGGCCCACACACAACTGAATGAGATTATGGAAATGGAAATTACCCATACGCCCTAGGCCTAAACCAAGGAGACAGAGTGAGGCTGAATCATCTTCAGCCCAAGTTCTGAAAGAATGCAGTTCCTCTTGATGGATCTCATATACCATTAAAACCTATGTATGAAAACAAGGATAGTAGCATCTGACTAGAGAATGATAAATGCAGGGTCCATGTCAGGTGGAAAAAGGGATCTGAAAAATTATAATCCCATCAATTAGAATTTTTAAATATGCAAAATGTGGCAAGTAAAGAATAATAATGGATATGGAGTAAATCGTGACTTAAAAAAAAAAAAAAGCAGTGCATGTTTAGTAAAAATAGATCAGTCAAGTACAACCTGACATTTTCCTGAAAGCCTGTTTTCTGAGGAAAGAATATCTAATTTATCTGGACATCAGTAACATCATACGGTGCCACATGAGAACTTATTACTTATGATGCAGAAGATGGGCATTAGTACTAAAGTTCTAAGGTGGCAGTGAACTGGCTAAAGGACAGCATCAATAACGTGCTAAAGCAGGCTGCATCAAGTTGAGGGATGCTATTAAAAAAGTTGCGCTATCTATCCTGGGACCTATCTCATTTTTAATGACCTTGGCACAAGAAGTCAGAGTGCACTCAGGAAATTTGCCAATTAAAATTCAGAAATCATCAGAGGTGGAATAAAAGATACAGAAAGAACAGTTTGGGGGACCACAGTAATAGACATGAGATACGCCTACTGTGTAATAGCAACAGCTTCTGCTTTTACTGGATGCCTCACCCATCAAAGCTAGCTAAGGAGGAAAAGATGAGTGTGTTAATAAATGACAGTATAACCACAGTGCAGCTGTGAAGAGACTAATACTAGAATACATAGGATGAATTTTAGATTTTTTTCCCCGACATCATCTAAGGCAACAGTGAGACCCCATCTGGAATGCTGAATACAATTCTGATCCTGATCAATGCAAATTCAAAGCGGAAGAGTAGCACCCATGCCTAAGATGATCAGAAGACTGGCGAGCATACCACATAAAATACAACTAAAAGAATCAGGTCTCTTTAGCTCACACAGCTGAACTATGGAATGACAGAAGTGCTGCCCAAAAAATACATCAAGAGAGCAGACACCAGGGAGGGAAAAAAATTATTTGAGTGAAAGGACAGTGTTGACATTTGTGTAAGAGGACGGTATCAGCTAGCCAAAAGGAATTTCAGACTAGTTCAGGAAAGTTTTCAAACCATCACAGGAGTGAAGTGCTAAAGTAGGCTCCAGTGGGAGGAAGGGAGGGAGAAAACGGGCAAAAAAATAACGAAAGTGGTTTAAAACTAGACTAAATATACTTGTGAAAAGGGTTATCTGACAGAAATTATATGGCATAGCAGGGACAGGACTGAATGACCCACATTCTAAACAGGGCACCTAGGTAAGTCCTGGAGAGTGCCTACTTCATCCCTTTCCACTACTATTTGCAACATTGAGAGCATGCTGAATAGCAAATATCCCATAACTGAAGAAGCCCGACGCTGGGGGGACCCCTTTTCTGTACTCTCTTCTAGCACATGAAGAACTCACAGGAGCAGAAATGGAGGAAGACAGCACCATCTTCTCCTTTCCAGGAGCAAGGAGGGCTTTGTGTTTTGAAGACAAACACCAGCTACTGAGACAGCAGAAAGACACTGGTATTGCAATAACCTCTCTCTCTACATGCAGAAATTCACAGGTGTATTTCAGAGCAGCCAAACAAGTTCAGCAGCAAGGGGGGTTAAGTACTCGGGAATACTGGCCACTCCCCAGCATGCACTTTCTGAACCCGCATTTGCATTTTTTGGATGGCATCTCAGATTTTCCTTTTGGCAACAAGTATTCTGGCAG